CCCTGCTGGGAGGTGACTGTCTGCCGGGCTGAGCTGCCAGTGCAGTTCCCGGGGCGGGGAATCACTCTGGCCCTGGAAGTGGTGCGATCAGCCAGACCAGAGCCTGCCCCAGCCAGCCTTCCTCAGGACCCACTTGCCTGGAGGTGCCCAGCCAAGCCCCCCACACTGTACCCCCCCCCCAACTGGCTGAGACTGGCCAGGCTTCTGCACCAGTCCCAAGCGGCTCAGTTCCAGGGAGAGAGGTGGGGCCCCACAGGTGGTGGAAAGCAGAGACTGCCCAGAGCCAGAGGTGCACCAGGGTTTGGCCAGGGGGAGAGAGAAGCCGGTGGGTGGGGCCAGGGGGTGAAGAGGAGCCCTCGGCGGGCAGGCTGAGAGGAGCAAGTGGTGGGCAGGGTGGGGGGAGCCAGTTGGGTTGGTGGGGTCTCAGGGCTAGAGTGACCAGATGTCCCATTTTTAAAGGGACAGTCCCATTTTTTGGGACTTTTTCTTATATAGGCGCCTATTACCTCCCACCCTGTCCCATTTTTTCACAGCTCCTATCTGGTCACCCTATCTCAGGGTGCAGTGCAAGCAGAGCAGGCTGGGGCCCCTTCTGAGCATGGGCCTGGCGCCACTGTAAACCTGGCCCTTAAGCTCCCTGCTGGGGAAGCTAGCCCCTGGCCCCTCCCCTGCTGTCCCCACTGCCCCGCAGCCTCAGTGCGCCGCCAGGGCTCTGGCCTGCTGCTCCTGCTGGGCCGCGTGGCTGGCTCTGGCCGAGCAGCGGGACTGCGAGCTCCTGCCGCTCTGAGCAGCATGATAAGGGGGCAGAGGGGTTGGATAAGAGACAGGGAGTCCCGGGGGGCAGTCAGGGTGTTATGCTATACAAAGCACACGGGATCTTTTCAGGGAGAAAAGGCAAATATGCTGCATTTATTGAAAAGACAACAGTTAGCATATGCTTTTCAGACACACACACACACACCCCTACCTGCCAGTTGATGTTTATAGTTACCAGTCTCTTGTAGCTTGAGTCAATCTAATGGCCAGTTAGATTGAGCACGAGTATGGACTGGGCTCTATCACTCGCGATCCGATGCTCCGAGACTTTGCAGAACTGAACCCAGGGTTCCATAGCAAAACACCCCAGCTTTATAGTTGTAAATTCCCATTTGAGTCCATGCATTTTGCAATGTCATCCTGTAATCATTAGTCCTTAAGTGGTGTTAATCTTGGGGTTCTCTGCTGTTATCATTTGATGGTTATTGTCGGGCTTCCCATCATCTCCTATTTCTTGTCTCGCCTTTGAGGATGCCTGCCTCACCTCTGAGGTCGTCAATGCTGCTAACATGTTTAGCATCGGATACAATGCATGTTTTCTGATTGTCTCCTGGTTTTTCCAAGTCTCTCACTTTTTCTTGACCACCTGGACATTTGTGATGGCTTTCACACCTTATCTTTTCCTGATGCATGCATTCCTCATTCACACAAACAATCTCTTACAGAAACCTTCAAAGGTATACAGACAGCATTTTATATTCAGCAGAACACATTGTAAATCAAGCCTTGCTAAATCTTATTGGGGCTTCAGGCCCTCAACATTCCTCTAATCTGTTTAACATAGATACAATACAAGAGCCTGTCTCTTAGGGTTTGTCTTCACTACCGGCCCGCATGGGCGGGTAGAAATCGATCCCCGAATCGACGCACGTACTCCACCAGCTTAGGTAGGAGTAAGCGCCGTCGACAGGGGAGCCGCGGCGGTCGATTTGCTGCCGTCCTCACAGCGGGGTAAGTTGGATCAGATACGTCGAATTCAGCTACGCTATTCCTGTAGCTGAATTTGCGTATCTGAAATCGATCCCCCCCGTAGTGTAGACGTAGCCTTACTTACTAAAACCTTAAAACAAAGAAATGTATATTTAACTAGAGTGCCTAATTTGTAATACATATAGGAAACCATAGTAGACATTATAACTTATCCTAAAACAAAAGGGTGACCATAATCCGTCATAAGGATTGTTCTGGTCTGTCATTCCTTTCTGCTATTCAAAAAGGGTGGCTGACAGGATAAAATCAAATCACACATTAATTCTCATAGTACAATTATAAAATCCTGCTCCTACATGGGGAAGGGAGCAGGGGGGGGTTGGATAGGCTTGGGAGTCCCAGGGGGCCTGTCAGGGGGCGGGGGTGTGGATAGGGGGCAGGGCAGCTGTCATAACTATAAAGGGAAGGGTAACAGCTCTCTGTGTACAGAGAC